GTATTATTATCCAGTGGCCATTCATGATGCAGTGGTCGGACCACAGTATCGCCGTAGACATAGGACCGGTATAGAAGTGTGTACAAGTAGTGTATCAGTTGATACCGGAGCTGTAGGGAAGCCCTGGCGGCTTCGGTGACCTCCGGGTGGCCCTGGAGGGCCCAAACACCCGGGTCCTGGTCCTGGATAGCAGTCTTATCGTTGTGGTTACGGGAGAAGGGATAGAAAGCCCCCAATTGGGACCACCGGCGACATAGCTCCGGAGTGGTGTCGAGTATAAGTCCACAGATGTCGGCGCCCGTCTACCAAGGGTGAAATAATAAAATTATTTTAGATTATTAAGGTTAATACATTAAGTAGATTTACTCACAAAACTCATCCCGAACATGTTGAACTCGAGCATGCCCACTATGGAATGGTGCATCATGGGCCAGGTGGCCGAGTTATCACCCGACCAGTGGTTGCCATACCGGCCCGATGTGGGATAGCTGCTACGGGTCACTACAAAGCCACGTTTGCCAATGGTGGCATCCAGTGCCCTAGTTACAATTAAAAGTTAAAATAATTATTAGAAAATTAAATTTAAAAATTTTGATTTCAATTACTTTCGAGTGGCGATCAATGGGTCACTACAAAACCACGTTTGCCAATGGTGGCATCCAGTGCCCTAGTTACAATTAAAAGTTAAAATAATTATTAGAAAATTAAATTTAAAAATTTTGATTTCAATTACTTTCGAGTGGCGATCAATCCGGTCAGGCCGTACATTGAGTGTACGTCATAATGTCTGTACTCCCCCTTTTCACCCTGTTCAGTGACCATACATAATGTCGAGGCTGACAACTGGTTGTTACTAAATATGACGGCTACAATATTCAAAATGAGTTTTAAAAATTTTTTAAATAACTGAAATTTAAATTATAAATTACATGATCTGATTGGCGGGTAATCCAATTTGTTTTTCGGACACAATGCTTTAAAATTTGAGGGTTCATTCATATCCTACGTCATAAATATAATTATTATTTAATCAGCTGAATTAATTATTTTTAATAAATTAGCTACATACAAACCATAGTGAGTCGAAGGGTAGAGTATCGTGCAGATTTTTCACCTGTCCCTGCCACCACAACACGGTCTCATTCTTGAAAAAGTCGGGGAATGCAGCCGGTCCATAGGGCCACACCTTGCCATAGTAGGTGTCCTTATCGGTGGGAACGTCCGGTGGATTAAACCGGTCTTTCGGGTCCACACTTTTAGGCCATTTGA